GAACTCGGAAATGACCCTTCCTAGCTTAGGGAGGCGTTTCCGGTAAATTGCCAGACTGCCAGGTTTCCAGGTTTCCAGTAAAGTCTCAAGATCAGCGTATATCTTGTAGAAAAGAGTGCCATTTCGCTGCGTTCGATTGTCGTCTTACCCCTCACCAGAACAGCACGACCTGGACCGCTTCGGCCAAGCCTGCTCGTCACGTCCGTAGACCACTAGGCAGAAGAATGACATCCTGCAAAGCTCCCTGACTGCTGCTATCGAGCCTTGAACTCTGAGCCCTGTGAGTCCGTACAACAACAAATTCTGGAATCCTCGGAAGAGGCCATGGGCTCTTACGGCTCAAGAGCAACTACTCGGCAGCAGCCTAAGAGAGCTGCACCAGTTCTATGGTTGGTGATCTTTTCGCTTGGGGCCTCGGAAGGTCATCCTTAAGAGAATGCCACATCGTGTCAGAGACCGTTGTCGTTGTTTCATATGGTTTCATGGGATTACCTACAATGTCAACCTGCAGCGGTTCCCGACACTGTCCGAGGCAGTAAGCCTGCAAAATGAACCCAAGTGCGAATAGATGCCGGTCAGAGCATGCCAAGCAACAAGAATGCAATCGAATGCTCTCCACCATGCCAAATCAGTCGAGTCCCAACAGGCCGCCAGAGTGTGCTGACACTTTTAGGCAGGCATGTGCACGAGGGACTAAGCTCCCACATGCACACACGCCCATGCAGCAGAGCAAGCCCAGAACTACCCCAGCCACCCGTCCGGACCCACCCAGCCCCTCAGCCGCTTCATCGCGCGGTCTGAGGAATTGATCCAGCTGCGAGGGAAAAACCTTCCGGAGTCTTGAGCTTATGAAGTCTGCCTTCTGGCCCAGGAGTTTCGGGTTACGGCATTCTTTGCATGTTGTCTAGGACCAGGAAGCAAGTGAAAGTACTTCCAGTTCGTGGGTTGATGTTAGGTCCAGGGAAACTCCCAAGCAACGCTTGAACATCAAATCCTTTCGTGTGGCAAAAGGTCAAAGTCCAGGACATTGGTTGCACCGAACCATCACACCCTACCCATACAAGATTTTCTGTAGAGGCTTCAATGTAGCTGTTAACCGGAAGAAGTAGTCGTTAGCACTAGAAGTTGTATCAGAGGCAAGCACCGCTTAACAAAGTCCACTGCGTCTCTGCATCATCCCTATGAATCTCCCGAAGGCCTTAGGCAGGAACCATCAATCTGCAAAATACAGCCGTGTCCGGCTGGATGAGTGCTAGTCGAAGCAACAATGCAGCCAACGCATCTCCATCTGGTGATACAGGAGGGGGGCTGACTGCCTTCAACAGTTAAGCCGAGTGGCTGACCGGTTCAATCGTGGCAATGAGCGGAACCAGCTGTGCCTGCACCAAGGCATTGCAACAGGTGCCCAGTCCTAAAGCCCCCTGCCGCAGGTGCCTTAATCGCCTTAACTCCCAGAGCGAAAACGGCTCTGAACCAAAAGCGAGAACCCTCAAGTGATCGGGAGCTTCAGTCCAAGATGTTCAAGCTGCTCGGGTTCAGGGCTACCTTAGTGTTCTGGTTCAGCCTCGCATTTCAGTGAACGTTGGGGTTCCCTTCCCGAGGTTGCTTCTGTTGGACATCACCCGCGTCCTGCAGCGCATGGGCGCCGAGGTCTTTGGCTTCACCGCTGGGTGCGTGTAGGTGCAAGGATAAGGATACTGGGGCACAGAGTTTTGGTTGTAGCTGGGTTGCAAGCTTTGTATCGGAAAGAAGCTCTGAACTCTGACATGACTGGGTTTTCAGAACAGGCTGGTTGTGCAGGAGCCGATCGTTTGCACCCAACTAGTCTTGAAACGCCGATGCGCGGGAGGCCCCTCAGCTCCTGAACTTGCAAGCTAGTACCTTGGAGCTTCAGCCAGGCCTTGATCCTGTTCCTAAAACCAGAGTGCCCCTAAAACCCTAAACCTTAAAACCCCAAAACCCTAAAGCCCCCAAGCGCTTATTCTGAAAAGTCTTTCCCCTGAGCCCGGACTCGATGCAATTTCCGAGTTCCGGCCTTCTGGGGGCTTGGTGGAGGCTCTCAGCTTCAGGGCCTCGCGCCCGCCCGCCTTTTGAAGGACATGGAAAACTCGCACGCCTGGGTCAGCAAGCTGGGCACTGAGAGTGCTTGAACTCCGTGTAAGAAAGCCTCGGCAGGTGGCTGAGTGTAATTTCGCGCAGATGTTGCGTGTTGTTGCGGGTCACGAACGAAGGGCACCCCAAACCACCGATGCCTTGTACATGGGCGCTCAAAGCTTCGAGCGTTTCTTCGGGACTATGCATCTCCGAGCTTTTCAGCCCCAGTCAGCCTCGCACGTGCACACCCCGTTTCAGGGCCGTAACGATGTCAAACGATTAACGCATACCCCCTGCTTGGCAACACTTGTGGTGGTGAAGACGAGACAACATACTGGTGCAAGCGGGTGATGAGGCTTAGGAGGGTGTAGGGTCTACAGGTTTAAGGTTTTTGGGTTTAGGATTTAGGGTTTAGGGTTTAGGATCGTGGGCCTTCCCCCTGAGCCCTAAAGCCCTAAACCCAGGTATGTGGTGCAGCGTGCGGTGAGCGTTGAGGAGCTGCCGGTGCGGTTGGGCTGGGAGGGGCGCGGTCCTCGGCTCAACCAGGCAGGGTTTAGGGTTTAGGGTTTAGGGTTTAGGGTTTAGGGTTTAGGGTTTAGGGTTTAGGGTTTAGGCTAAGTTGCTTCAGGATTTTCAGACAGGTTCAATGCCCCCAACCCCTTAATCGAAACCTTGAATTACTCCAACCTGCTTCCCATGGAGCCTCGATGTTTGTAAGGGCTGTGAGGCAGAATCTTGGGATCACAGAAATGGAACAGAGGGTACTCAGCATTGCAACCTGCTGCATAGAGGTTCGACGATGCTCAGCTCCGTTCCGTAGTCTCAGCTCTTCATCAGTGGTCTGAGTCGAGACCCCAGAGACAACACGGAAACTCCAGGATGCGCATCTCCAGCCCAATCCACCGCTGCCGGGCACCCAAAAAGAAACACTAAGCGGCTTTGGGGTTTAGGTCTCGAGAGAATCCGGGAACCCCAGATCGGCTTTAGGCCCTTCACAGCCTCGCATGCCAGAACCCTTCTTACCCAACAGGCAGAGGAATCGCCCCGCTCATGGCACGCTCCGCAGCCCCGAATCTTAGAGCATCAGAGCTTGAAGGCACGCACATCCCAAGCTCAGGTCTGCTCATTTTTCTCTGCGGCTACTACTGGGAAAAACTATGTACTACGTATTGCAACCGAGTAGTTCTACCTGAGCATCGGCAAGAGGACACCAAAATAGCCCCGAGAAATGAGGGGAGAAAGTAGCAAGGAGGTGGTCAAGTGATTAGGTTGGCTGCGGCTAGTCACAGCCTTCACCATCATAATGATGGTGGTCATCACCAACACCAACATCAGCATTGTCATCATCGTCATCTTCATAATCCTCACCACCATCATCACCATCACCACCATCACCATCACCATCATCACCATCATCACTCATCACCATCATCCTCATCCTCATCCTCATCATCATCATCATCATCATCATCATCACCATCATCACCATCAGCACCATCGGCACCATCATCATCACCACCACCATCACCAATATTATCATCAGCATCATCATCATCGTCGTCGTCATCATCACCATCATCGTCGTCGTCATCATCATCATCATCAGTGCCAGCGTCAGCATCAGCATCAGCTTCAGCACCAGAGCATCATCAGCGGCATCGTCAGCATCAGCAGCATCATCGGCATCGTCAGCCTCATAAGCATCATCAGCATCATGAGCACAAATATAAGCCACATAAGCAACATCGGCATCATCATCATCATCATCATCATCATCAGCATTATCAGCACGATTCACATCGACACCAGCATCATCACCGTCATTAGGAGTATCATCAGCCCTGTCAGCAGCACCGTCGTCATCATCATCATCATCATCATCATCAGCATCATCAGCATCATCATCATCATCGTCATCAGCAGCAGCACCAGCATCAGCAATCTTCGTTGTTTGTGTTCTTGCTGATCTTTCTACGCCTTCTCTCCCTCGTAAAACAGCCCCCTCAACCTCCGCAGCGGCAGCATACGAACAGGACATGATGGAAGCTGCAGCGCAGAAACAACACCACTTTCGATGTCCATTGCAATGCTGAGAACCAACCAAGCAAGCGTAGGTATCTGTAGCCCCGAGCACCAGCATCTTGCTTGTGCCCAAGTTGGGGACGTCCACATCGAACCGCAGCGTCTCGGACCCCGCAAGAGGGCCCGGGACTCGACATGGCTTGTCCGTCGTACCGGCAGTGTTGATTGTCCAGATTCTGCCGAGACTGCAGTTGGGACAGCAGCAGCCGCACCGCTGCTGAGAAGTTAGCATAGTCCTCGTGGTAGTCATCGTCGTCCTAGTATAGTCGTCGTGAAAAAGATTCAAGGTTTGTTGTAAACAGCGGTGGCCTTGGCGGCCGTGGAAGGTATGTCGGGTTCTGTGGCATGTTTCGGCCCGAACACGCAAGCGTGGCAAGGCAGCTATTTAGAGTCTCTCCAAGGCGCGGCGAAGTCGCTTGCCCTTCGGGTTCTCGGATCGCCGTGCTGGCCTCGGTAACTGCTTTTAGGCTCGCCGCGTCGACACCCGCATCCTCCGTCACTTCCTTGGATGCTCGTTTGCGGTTCCTTGGGCCTTGGAACATGTGAAATGGAGGTTTCAACAGGTGGATGACAGATCAGGCCCAAGTCGTGCTGTCATATAGCCAATGCCCACTGCGAATTAGCAGTTAGCAAGCACATTGAGCGGCGCACTACGTAGCCGTGTAGAGGACAGCACGGACTCCCCATGCACCAGAGTGCTTGAACAAGTGCTGAAAGGTTGTTAATTGGTCGGACGCATAGTTCTTTGACAGCGAAGTTCCGTGCAACATGAGGAGTCTGTTGACCTCGCTGGCCCTCCGGTCGTTTCCACATTGAGCCGACTGCTCAAGTTCCTACTGGTTTGGAAGCGCGTTCACCCTTGTCAAGACCACTCCTCCCTTCTTGGTTGCGGTCCTCTCACCCGTTCCGTATGGTGCCGCAATGTGGCTGTGTCTCCCATTGGCAACAAGTACTAAAATTTTAAAAGCTCCCTCCTGCCTTTCCAATGTGCTCCGCGCGGAAGGGCCTTGTCTCCCATTTTGCGCACGATCGTCCATTCGGTTCCAAGAGCCCAAGAGCCTTGAGGCTCAACACCTCTAGGCCTGAACCTAGCAAGCACATGTTCCCGAGCGACCCGACCCTACTTTTCTGAGGTGCTTCGGTGTATATCCTGATTGTCGAGAGCGCATCGCGAACTGCTTTCGAGGCAGGACAATGTCGATGTGGTCTGCAAACTCCCAGTCTGACTCCTCTACACCAATTTCAGCTCTTTGTCCCGTCGGAGTTTGTCAGTGCGGGACATCTGAACTCCAAGTGCCAACCGGAATTTGCAACCCCTGAACCCCAAATTCGGAACCACCCAAAGGCTGAAGGCTCAACACACAGAAACCCTGAATCTTGAGCACGAGCTTTTGATCCTGTTGTGCAGGCCTTCTGCCCCAAGACGATGGCTTTTCTTCGACGGCAAAGCCGTCTGGAGCGACCAGTGCAGCTTCCAGCTTCTGGTCGTTTGGGACCATAATCTCGGGAGTTTTAGCAAAGAGTCTGCTTCGATTCAAGCTCGGCGTGAGCTCTTTGCATTGGTTTGATTTGGTTTCGAAATGGCTTGAATCTGATGACTGTGTGGCCAAGCCAGATTGACTTTGCGGTTCGTGCTGCTACTGGGCCCGCGGGAGGTACGTGCTGACAAGGAGAGCCCAAACAGCCGGAAGTGGCGAGTCCACTCCTTGGCAGATCTTGACTCATAAAAGCCTGGGGCTACCAGAACCCAGTCCTTGGCAGCTCTCAGCCTCTCTCCTCAGCCACGGCTCTTCCGGATGACCCACTGCTTTCCGGCGAGAGATCGGTTCCCGTTGGAAACTTCGATTTCGAGAGCTTGATGTAGGAAGTCGCCCAGGTAGCCCGAAACGGTTTGGATTTCCCAAAATCCTCACGGCCCTGTGAGTGATACCCCGCCCATCCCGCGGCCTTGTCAGCCCCTTGTTCACGCCTCCGAGCCCATGCGCGCCTCCAAACCATGAGAGACCCATCAGGTCGTTGACCTGGCGCTTTTCCATGCCTTGTATGGCGGCACGGCCTCTCCCTCGGCTAATGTGATACTGAGCATGGCTGTTCAGGGTCTCGTCCGTGATCCATGGCTGTTCAGAGCTTCTGAATTTGGGTCCGTTGCGGACCTCGGTCGAAGGGTTATCTTGGTGTGCCTTCCTGTAAGTCGTTTAGCTAAGATAGTGTTTGCAGGTCTGCTTGTTGTTGACTGCGCTAGGACGATTTGGGGTTAGGGCAAGTTTAGGGTTGAGAGTTTGGGATTGGGGCTTGGGGTGTAGAAGTCTTCCTTATGTCTTTCCAGGGAGGCTTCGGGGCTCCTGGATAGGCTCGATTATTATTATTATTACTATTAATACTATTAATATTATTATTATTATTATTATTACTATTAATATTATTAATAATATTATTATTATTAATAATATTATTATTATTAATATTATTATTATTATTATGATTATTATTATTATTAATATTATTATTATTATGTCCCCAGCTCGGGTCGAAGGCCCTTGACGGTGCAAGGCAAGGTTCTGGGGTGTGGGGCTTGGATAGTTGGAAGACTGTATGTGCATGTACGTCTGGAGGACTGGATGGGGGGAGGTAGGTAGGAATGTGTGCATGTATGTGTATGTGTGTGTAAAATGGAAAGGAGTTTGGAGGGCTGAAGAATGAAGTCTTGAGTTTTGCTTAGGGGTGCAGCGTTGAGGGCAGAGGATCAAAGAGCCACAGAAGTTCGACTCCACGGGCGGAGCACGGCTTTATGGGCGGAATCCGTGGTACGGACCTCAAACCGATACCAGTGCCTTCAACCCCGCTGGCTGCATCGGCAAATTCATTTTCGACATCGGATAAGATCTTGCGTTCAGGTTTGGGACATGTGCGGAGTTCATGCTTGTTTCACGGGATACGGTCTTCCCGAAACCCAGACCTCCAGCTTCAACACTGTTAACTTCAGAAAGCACCTCAATACCTGAGCGATGAAAAATGAAAAACCCTTGCAATTATGCGCAACACCCCAAACAAGTGGATTCGAAGTCGGGTCCATTCCAGGTAGCCAACATGGTACCTGCGCTTACAGGCCCACACGTATGGTTGTCACTTCAACTACCCTTTGGGGTTCGTGTTGTTTTGGGTCGTGGGACTTTATGGGTTGAGCGTTTAGCGTTGTGTGCCACTGTTGGGATTATTTTTGGAGCGGGGGGGAGGGAGGGTAGGGCTTGGTGGGGGTAGGTGATTTCCATCTGAATAGGTGATTTCAGGTTCCAAATTGGCCAGTGAGTATGATCAGCTTTTGCGGCTGAGTGTTTGCGCTTGCATCTTGAGCGACGGCCAACACGTCAGAAAACAACTTCCAGGACGGCAGTACGGTACTACCTGCAAGTCTCGAAAGCCCTCGTTGTTTCATGTCCCGAAGCTTCCCCCTGCAGCCCCTCATCCGCATCACGGGTTTCACTTCTTGCAGGATGCTTTCTGCCAGGCTTTTCGTTCGACATGGCCAAAGACTCCGAGCGGAGGGCGGGGCTCCAAAGGGGAAGCTTCAGAGCTGCGCTTCGAAAAAGGCTAAAGCAAAGCTCCAAACCCTGAGCCACGGGTTCTGAGTCTTCCGGGCAGGATGCAGAAACTCGGAGCTGTGTTGTTGACTGAAGTTTCAGCATGCTCCCAAAGATCGAAGACAAGTACGAAAAGAGCAAGTTGCTCTGCCAAGGGCGGAAGAAGCTGAATATTTCATAATTCGGTCCCGGCGTTACAGAACGACACTTTTCGTGGGCGCAAGTCCAGGGTTTGGCCGTGAGCTTTGTTTGTGGCAACTTGTCAGATTAAGTTTACGGCAGTGTCAGCTTGTTGGACCATGTGTTCGTATGCCCTTGTGGTGGGTGTTCGGGTGTCGGCCTAGCTTAGGACAATTTGCGCGGGCATGATTTGATGGAGGCTTCAGCCCCTTGAGGTTATCAGGATAAACTCCTTATACTACTCACGGCAACACAAGGGGCTTGCTCGTAGATTCTCGTGGGCAGGATGTGTCCTGAAACAGTTGGGATCCACGCGACATCTCCGACAAGTCCACGCGTGGCCATTTCAGGCTCGGAGCTTGGGCATTCCGATGCAGACTGGGGATGGACCGGCGGAAGCGGTCGAAGTCTGCGAACAAAGTTGCAGCTTTAGGGCTCTTGGCGCTGGTAAGCTGGCCAGCACGCTTGCAAACCCAGGTTGGCCCAGGGAGGGGATTTCGAGCTCAGCGGGCTTAGTGTTGGTCGAGTTGAAAACTCTTGTTCCTTGGCACTTTGGGTGAGCTGATTGTTGCGGAGTTTGTAGTCAGTTTCGTGTTTCAACATGACAGGTTGTCCGTGGTCAGCAGGAGTGCTTCTGCGCTTATTTTTTTGCCGCCGCTGCTGGGCGTGTGTGTGCAAACACCTCTCCTTTCTCCGCTGCTAGGGCCGCAAAAGCCCCTCTGCGCAATGTTGCTTCGAAGTGCAAGGAGCAAGACAGGACAGGCGAGATTCTTGAATATTTGGCAACGCGTGACTGGACAGATACACTAGCAATTTCCAAGGCAGTAGTGGGGAACAGAGGGAAACAGAAGGACGTGAACCCATTACTATATACGCTGAAAGAGGAGGGCAAGCTTGAGATGAGGTCGTCGCCAAGCAAGCCAGGCCGCAAAGAATGGAAGCTTGCGGCGGCGCAGCTTAGCAAGGGTGACGGAGACAGCGGTCCAGAGGGCGTGAACCGTTTCCTTTCCATTCACGAGGAGAAAGAACTCGAGAGAACGTCGTCGCCAAGCACACCAAGCAGAGACAGGACAGGCGAGATTCTTGAATATTTGGAAACGCATGACTGGACAGATACACTAGCAATTTCCAAGGCAGTAGTGGGGAACAGAGGGAAACAGAAGGACGTGAACCCATTACTATATATGCTGAAAGAGGAGGGCAAGCTTGAGATGAGGTCGTCGCCAAGCAAGCCAAACCGCAAAGAATGGAAGCTTGTGACAGCTCCGGCACCACCCGAGCCATCTGCACCAGTGGGAGAGCACCGGCGGGTTCACAGGACAACAGAGGATGTGCAGCCGGCGCCGAAGAGCCAGAAGGAGTTAGAGGAGCGTGTTGCTGAGGCTCTGGAGGATCCGCAGTCGTTTCGAAGTTTGGCACAGTCCCTGAAGCCCCCAAACCCTTCCCCTTCTGAAGCTGCTGAGCTGGAGAGGATACTGCAGGTTGTTACAGACCTTGCTGACGAGAAATTCGCGAATGAGCCTGGGGTTGCAAAGCTTGAGCAGATAGGCTCCAAGGCCTATGGTGTTGATATCCATGGCAGCGACTCCGATTATGCTCTTAAGATGGGAGAGATTCCAATCTATGAAGCATCATGGGAGAAGTATGTGAAGGCCTTAGGGCAAAAGCTGTCCCCTGCGAGAGTGGAGCTAAGAAACAAGTCGGCAGCCATCCTCCTCAACGACACGATGCCATTCCCTGTGCTTGAAATAGTGCCGTTCAATGCACACTTTGACGAAGAGAGTGTGGTGTTCGAGACTCTGTTTGGAGCTGGGAATGCCAACACTCTAAGTCGAGCGGCGGCAGATGTCATGCTGAAGCAGCTCTTTGAAGGCTACCAGGGGGCTCGAGATGCGACCCGTGTGGCCAAGGCTGTGTTCTGTGGAGACGACACTCCCGGCTCGACAGGTTCAGTGCCATGGGGTTACTTGCTGACACTATGCATTTTCAGAGCTTGCAAGAGACACAACTCGAAGAAGGATTTTTCAGGAGTCGACTTGTTCCACAGGCTACTTATGGAGATACACAGCTGGCCTGTTGCTGGCCAAATAGCAGGCGTTAAGCCATTTTGAGTTTTCTTTTGTTTTGGCATTTTTCGGGAGCGTTATGGCAGTCCTTTCGCGAGTCTTAGACATGTGAGGTGAAGGCCCGCTACAAATCTCTGAACATGGCAAGCAGGTGGGCAAAGAATCGCGGCTGGGACCTGGATCCTGTCTTCAAGAAGTGGCAAAAGCGAGCAGAGCGCATTCGATTGCTGTTCGATTAGGGTAGGGAGGCAGATCCTCCTGCTCCGACGTGCGCGAGGTGCCGTGTGCGCGTGATTGTCATGGACGCCGACTTCCAAAAACTCAACAACAAGAAAGGTCCGAATCGCAAATGAAATCTGGACCCTGCGTTCAAGATGCGGCAAGAGCAAGCAGAGCGCCGTCGGTCACTTTTTCAAAAACGGTCGGCGGGCAGATCTTTCTCCGGCTTTCAAAGGGTTCCCTGGTGAGCTCTCCATGAGCCTCCCTGTGTGCAGCGCAAGCAAGCCAGGACTGAACAAAGATCTTCGGACGCTTCCCTGTCGGATTCTGCAGTCATGGTCGCCGACTTCCAAGAACTCGAGAAGAAGGGAGGTCCGATCCAGTCTAGCAGAGGATACATCCAACGATATCTCATAGAGTGTTCCTGGATTTTGGAGCCGAGCCATCCAAGAACATAGCGACATGTCGCACGCCTGGAAGCCCAAACCACCTGAGCAACATTCCTCCATGCCACCCAAAACCCCTGACGCCCTGAACTGCTAAACCTGAAACTCTGCAATAGCCCGCCCCGCCTCATCTGACCACCCACTCTTACGCCTCAGGCCGGCTGGAGGTGTGAAACGGTTCTGGAGGGGATTCCGGAGGCACCAAAGCCGACGGCGCCGGCTTCAGGTTTGGAGATATTGGAGCTACAAGTGCTTTGGGTTATGGTGGAAGGGTGATTCCGAGTCGGGCTTCGGCTTTGAAGATGAATGGAGGTGCCTCAGTAACTAGACGGTTCACGCGAGTCAGATGCAGCTGAAATGCCTCTTTGGACTGTGTGGTTTAGCAATCCCAGCTTTTTGCGATGGAAAGTCCGCAATCTTTCAACGTCAATGAGGTCTCCAAAACACGGAGAAATCATTATCATGCCGCTAAGAACGATTGTGTTGGCGGTGGGCACAGCAGCTTCTCCGCATTCTGGTCATCCTTCTCGTTGTAGTTGTTATCGTCAGGCATCAGCCAGAATGCGCATCATCATTAGCATCATCCGGAAGATGCCGGGCTTCAACTTCAGCTTCATCAGCATGCTCACAGGGGCCGTAACAATGGCAATGATTGCAGTAGGCATCCGACAGTCCTCGTCTCGGTCACAGCCCGACGTCATCATGCTCTGTTGCAGGGACGGCTTCTCTGGAACATCGCGAAGAAGCATGGCCAAATCCCCAGACAAACTCCGATGCAACGCTTCGGGTCGATCTTTGCAGGCTGTTCAGGGTTGGTTGCTTGAGCCACGCATAGCCTTCGACATGCGTCAGATGTAGTTGGACGAAGTATGCGGAAATAGTTTTGCAAGTCTGGGGCCAGGAGGCTGTAATTTGACAGAAGACCCTGTGAGATGCAGGGTGCCCTGTCGACCATTCCTGACAGTTTCGATGATGTTGAAGACAGTCTGCGTGGGGATCAGACCCGTAGGCCAAAGCAGTAAATCCGAGACACAGAACACGAAAGTGAGAATGCTCGATCCTCGATGCCTCGAAGCCTAAGCAACCTATATGCCGGTCCGAGTCTGCGCTTCTCTCGTGCCCCAGTATTTTCCGTTTTTCCAGAGGTTACAAGACGCTGTTTGGCGCCACCGGCTGCAATGGCCTGTGCCTATGACTGCGCTGCGGTCTTGCTGTTCGGGGCCTGTGGGCATTGCGTTTGGAGAGCGTAAGGTTCAGCTCCGTGCATTCAGCTCAAAACGGAAGATCCCTCCAGAAGATGCGCAGGTTTGGTTTGTAGTGTGGGCTACTCGAGGAGCTGCCTTTCACTCACACACCAACTCAGGGATCTTGACAAATCTGACCTCATCCTTCCACGTGTTGTCGAGTATCATGACGAGGATTTGAATCCGCCCGCAGAGAGTCGTTTCCGAGGAATTTATGGGCAGTCTTATCGTATAATGATCACATATTGTCGTATAGGTGATTTGTTAGTGTATTTTGAGACGTAAACAGCACACCGGCTCAAGTGTTGAACCAAAGCCTTCCTGAGCACGGAGATTGGGCTGCGCGCAGCAGCTTAGGAGACTGTTGCAACATGAAGCAGCATTTGGTTGAACCGGCTGTTCTGATCTGATCTCTGCAGTGGGCCTATTCTGCTGTGCCCATCATCTTGTGTCTTGACTCGTTCGAGTGCAGAGGTTTTCTTGGCACCCGGTACTGCCGCAAGTGGCTTGGCCAGTTCGACCGCCCGGGCCTGAGCTCCTTCGGTGTGCACAGTCCTTCGATGGGTTGGGTGTGCCCTAGGTTTGGGTTTTGTCAGTTCTCTTAACTCCGGAAAGACGTGTGCCCGACTTGCGGATCACGAGAACGCCACAATGTGTCGAGTGCGAACAGATCTTTGATTGCGTTGGTGGCGCGGTCGCACGAAATCCCCGCCGAGCGCGCGATCTTCGAAAAGCTTTGCCACGCTCAAGATGGAAAGGCACCGCGTGAGAGCATGGCAGGTTGACCCAGTTGACCCCGTTTTGCCCAGGCAGCTAACTCAGGGAAAATCAACAGCTTCAAAACGCGGCTTCACGAACGCATCCCGAGTCTAGGCAGAGGAAGCTTTGGAGGGCCGAGGTGGAGCCTGTTGAAAGTAAAGTCAGGATTCGGCGTGTAGGTCGAGAAGGGTTCGGGGTATCTTCGCTCACGGCTGTCTGTTTTGTTGGAGGTTCGAGCTGCTGCGGGACGAGTGTTGACTCTCGGGGAGTTTAGTGGAGACACTACCCTGTTCCGGCTGGCGAAGTTGGAAGGCCGCAGTTTCTCTCGTCACACTGAATCTTGCAACGACAGCAACACCCACGTGACCTTCGGGCCTCGGAGCTTCCGCGCTGAGCCGAGGTGTCGTCCCCAGCCTGGAGATCGATCCGAACTGCCATTCTCAACACGAAGCTGGGACTGATATGGACTGATCATCAGGTATCATAAACGACAAGCTTTCTCTTCGTTGTAATGAGAGTGCATCGGCCATTGGGATCTAAGGAATGGCGGGCCATGATGCTGGAAAGGCCACCCGTCTCAGGGGGGTCGATGGGTTCAAGATGTACAGACTTTTCAAGGTGAAGGGTACAGCGAATCAGAGCAATGCTCGCTCGAATTCGGCGTCCACTGCTTGCTGTTGACTCAGAAATTACCACCAAACACACGTCCGTGGCATACAGCTGGATTTTTTTCAGAAAACCTACCCCTAGGCCCTAGATAACAGGATTGTTTGTGTTCTGTCATAACCTTGGTGTTTATAGACCCCAAATTCAAGCAACGCCAGGAAAGGGAAGCGCGGCTGCATCGGAGGGAAGCGTCCGAGTGAACATTTGCTGGACTATTTCCTCCGTTTCCAGGAACACCGGGTAAATGAGCGGCTTCGGCTATGGTGAGACGTTTGTTGTTCATTTTGATTGGGACTTTTGAGTGTAGGCTTTGGGCATCTGGTGACCTTCGGTTTGAGTGTGGTGCTGTCTAAACTCGAGCATACGAGGACAATTCTCTTGATTCTTTTTAGTTCATCTTGGGGCCTGCATGTTGAGGCTTGGGTACTTCCTGGTTCAGGACAGGTTTGGATGAGTCAAGTCCGAACATGTTGCAGCCGAGTACATGAAGTATGTAAAGACTACCCGGTATCCGGGCTACATCCGGGATAGGGTGCCTCTAGAGATAGGAGGCTAACACAGCCATTGACCAAAACATCGGACACTCCTCAGCCCGGTTTTCTTGCCAAAGGGAACCTTCTCCTGCCTTCCCACTTGTATCTCTGTCTCGCTCTCTCTCTCTCTCTCTCTCTCTCTGTCTCTCACTCCTTGTGTTCCCATACGACATGGAGAGCTTCTGTAAGAACTTGCGGAGTCACGACGCTCTACTTCAAAGGCCGTGCGCCCTGTCCAGGAGATCCATTCCGATGGTCCTGTTTTTGCCTACCTGCACCTCGAGGCTTCCGCGAACAGTATCAGTGGTGGTGGCGTTGGTGGAGGAGGTGGTGGTGATGGTGGTGGTGGTGGTGGTGCCACTGCAGCGCTTCTTCCATTGCAAGTCTTAATGTTAGAGTGTGTGTCGCAGCGAAGTCCCTCCTTCCCACCGTCTACATTACGATATCCACTTTCTTGAGTTACTCTTCGTCGATCGGGCCTACTCGTGAGATTGTCTCAGTTCAATGCTGAGGTTCTGCAGCATTGAGATTGTGGCTTCGATTGGTGTTCAGGTGTGATGTGGGTTGACGTAGTGAGACTCAATGCTCTTCGGTTGTGGGGCTCAGGGATCAAGTTCGACATGCTTCATGGTCCGGGGTTCCTGGGTCAGAGATTTGCGTTGAGCTCTGACTTGAACAACTACACCGGCTCCACGATCGGTTTGTGGCGCTTTGGGTGCTGGGCAGTGCATCGAGTTCTGTTGCAAACCTGCAATTGCAAAGCAAAGGGGGGCATGCATAGTGGTCAGTGCGGTCCAGGGTTGCAGGAGTACCGATTGCTGGGATGGGAAACTCGCGGGAAATGATCCAGCTCGAACTCTTGCAAGGCTTCCCACGAATCTCAGCACGCGCTGCAGCTGCTCGTGAGGTTCTTGGATAACTTTCCCCTGCCTCTCCCTTCATGGTAAACTTGGATGATGTGGTTTCGAAGTTGAGCCAAGCCTCGGAACCAAAAAGATACAGCAAGAGGCACCCGTGCTGTTTGTTAGCTATTTTCCCCTCCAGACGACAGCACGACGACTGTAGTAGGAGTATCTGCGCTTCTCTTACCAGGAGGAAGACGACGACGACCGCAGCTGCTGCTGCTACTGCTGCTGACACCTACTCCTACTCCTACGACGACGACGACGAAGTCTATCAGTTAGAATTAGAAGAGTAGTGTTGCTGACTGTAAGGACGAGGCATTGGCGGCGCACCTCGAGGGCCTCAGCAGGCGCGAAGACGAGGGGCTGACTCTTGACATTGTTGCTGCTGCTGCTACCTGTCCTACTCCCCGCCTCCTTCTCATACTCCTTCTGCTCCTCCTCCTCCTCCTCCTCCTCGCCTGTCGCTCCCCCCGTTCCCGCAGCTCTTGCTGTTCCTCAGCCAACTTCTGAGATGACTGCTGCTGCATCTGCTACCACTGCTGCTACTGCCTCTGCCACTACGACTAGTGCTATGTCCGGGCGGGCACATTTCAACTCGTCGCCTCTACCTGCTCGTGAAGGTGTTGGTGGAGCCGCAGAGGAAACTTCAGCATGAAGGGTCGCATCCGATGCAGGGTGAAGGGGCAACAGGGCCGCATGAAGAGGAAGATGTGGGTTCTACGGACCAAATGGAACATCAGGGCCCGGAGACAGGAGACAGGGACCTTTGACAGTGAGAATGGCATCGAAGCACATAGGCAGGCTTTCAACGGCACGGCTGAAATGGCTTGCGCAGTCAGACCTGCCTAAACTGGCTCTCTTGGAGTAGCTGCCCAGGAAAACGGTCCTCAAAAGCCACCCCTAAACCCTAAACCCTAAACCCTAAACCCTAACCCAGCTACAAGCTGCAAGGGTAACACCTGGGCTGGCAGGCTCCCACCCGAGGCTCGGCCTCTTCTCGTGCTGCCGACACGTTTTGCTTCTGCAAAGCGGTTCGGGGGTTAGGGTGGTCAGAGTCTAAGGTTCAGGGCGCAGGCTTCAAGCTGTTTCAAACTAAGGTGGTTCTGCTGGCGTTGTCACTGTGATGCTTAGGTTTCAGACTCCTTCGGAGTCGTTTGGGTCGGGTTTGAGTTTGGAAGCCGACACTTAGCCCAAGCACTTACCGAACCGCAAGAGACAAAAAGGAAGTATCTCCAAGCTTCAGAGAGCCTTGCACCTGTGGAGCCCCAAGAGCCTCGATGCCTGCTTGCAAACCCAGCGCCCTGTACTGTGGAATCCATGGCGCGTGGTCCAAAAGTCCAGGTCTTAGCTGGGGACCACGGTCCGCCCAACGAGTGTGATGAGCATGGGCCCCAGACCCTACATATGTGCTGGAGTGTGGGGGTGCTGGCGAAGCTTCGGACATTTTGGCATCCTGTACAAGTAGCCTTGACACCTGTGCCCTGTGCCTTGTTTGCGGGCGATTTTGGGGGGCTTCAGGGACCGAAGGGGCCGAAACCAAGTTCTTGGAGCTTTGGACGTTTTGAGGCAACAATGAAGGTAATAGTGTTTTCGTTGTCGTCGTCGTCGTCGTCGTTGTTGGTTTTGGTGGTGGTAGCGGCGGCTGCCAGGCGGTGGCTGTGTTGCCGGCCACAGCATTGCTTGGTGATGGTGATGGTGATGATGATGATGATGACGACGATGGCGGTGGTGATGATCATGGTGACCATGTTGATTACCGATGGTTGCGTTGATTGCGGTGATGATGATAGTAATGACTATGACGATGAGAGATTATGATGATGGCGGTGCTGACGATGCAGAAGTCGACACCGAGGATGAGGGTCGCATGAAGCTGATGCTGCACGGTCTACGCTCGTAGCCAAAAGCGTCTGCGTGCGTGTTGGCATTCGTGTTTAGAGCTCGGCCTCGAACTTGCATGCAGTGTTCGATGTTCCAGAGTCGAACCTCCGAAAAGTAATTTGGGTGATGCCCTGAGCCTTCCTTCCATGAACCCTTAAGCATAGGCTTTGAGCGACCCCGCTTCCATCTCAAGTTCCCTTGAGTCGACTGTGCCTCGCAGCCTGGCATTAGCCCAGGAAGTCGCCTTTGGACTTGACCTCAGACTGCGTATCTTTCGCCAGACTGCCGTGTCCCGTTCGGGACAGGGTTGAGCGAAGCACCTCAAGCCTGAAGAGGTCTCCTTTCTGGTGCCAGAAGCGCGCCTGCCAGACGTGGGTTGCGGAGGCGCGGATGGCAACCGGAACGCCTTCATGTCAATGGGCAGCCTTGAACCACGGAGTGAGGCCTTATGTTTTCCTGCCGCTCTTTGAACTTGAGCTTGAAGGGGTCTCGAGCCCTCTTATCTGTTGCTGTTGTGAGGCCCGGGTTGAAAGAAGTGCAGCCGTTGTTAGTCAGGGAGCGGTTAACCTCAACCATGAACACTCGACAACAACCTCGACCCTGCATCTGCAGACTCCATTCCATCTCCTAACTTACTGAAGGCAAAGCGTACCGTGCAAAGCCGGGACTTGAGAGGCCTGCTAGCGAACTGCGGGTTGCCTCATCTCCAGAGCAACGTCACCGGGACCGAGTCCCCGGATGCAGCTCCACCCTTCGGTGGTGCCTGAGATGCTTTTGCGAATGACTTGTCTGTGGTGAAGGCTAAGGTTGGTAACGGCTTCGCTGACAATATACCAGTGTTTTCGGAGTTAGCTTTGGATTCCGATGGCCATAACCTTGAGCACTCAAGCCCTCAAGCCTCACTGTAGCCTCGCTCTCATCAGCGCAGGACCCTGAGACGAGCAGCCGAGGCTCGCCCACCTCAGCTGTCCTTCCCGCCGAAAACCTCACCTGTGGGCTTGCGCACCGAGCGGTCTTCAAGACTTCGGGCTGAAGGTTCGGAGTCCGGAGCCGCAAAGCCCTCACTCTGCGCCTCTTTCCGGGGTATAGTAGGCCCCCCGAAACCCTAAACCCTAANNCCCTAAACCCTAAACCCTGGAGGGCGTAAGAAAGAGATCTCCTCCCGGCCTCGGGCAGGAGAATGCCAGGCTCTGGAGGCGGCACATGTGGAACCTGGCGGCTGCCCCGGTGCCCCTTGGGGCCGTAGGGGTTTAGGGTTTATTAGGGTTTATTAGGGTTTATTAGGGTTTATTAGGGTTTATTAGGGTTTATTAGGGTTTAGGGTTTAGGTGCCTTTTAGGGGTTTCAGCAGATGTAATCCGAAGGCAAGGACGGCTCTTTCTTCTATGAGGCTCTATGGAGCATGGGTATCCCAGCCTCCGTAAGGAGCAGAACCGCTTCGTGATCTCCTCCTGGTATGATGTGCGACGGGCTCAGTGCAGTGACTAGCCAGATTTAGGCAACCAACGTCAGAGTAGAGCATCGTACTTAGGGTCCAGGACATGGTGGATCCAGGTTTCGGCCGAAGCAGATGGTGTTAAATCTTCAGCTCGCCAACTGTGGGGGACCCTGCCTCAGGTACGCAACCCTGCGGCATATCATCTCGGGGAAGGATCCTGGAGGCGGGGAGCCAGCGAAGTTCCCAGTCAACAAGTCTTCCAGCTGTGCATTTCAACCCGATAGACGTCAAGTGCACCCGAACTTCGGGCCCGCCTTTTAACTTTTGAAAAATTGGGAATCTGGCGGGATGAGGATGAAGACGAAGATGGCATAGCGATCTATCGACGTGCTGTTTCGGGCCGCGACGAAGTCCTCAGGAACAAGCTTCAAACCCTTCAGAGCAACACAAGGAGTCATCCACACCTTACCGTTGTTGGTTTTTCTCCAGCATTTGCACCTGGCTCTAGCAACCGGTAATGTCTGTGGTCATTCAAAACTTGCGCCAGGCTTCCGGGGTGGTGTGGGCACGGCTTTGCGCAAGAAAAGCCCCCAAGCCAATGTCCACATGGGAGCCTTTATCAAAAGCGTCAATTCGATAGAGTAGATAAGGCCGGCCAGGACAAGCGGCATGATGCGTGGTCCTGCAGTAGCCCGCTTTTTCTTCGCGTTGAACATTACTTGATTTACGATGAACTCGCCTTGCATTGGAGATCCGTTTTTTTATGCTGGCGAGGTCTGGCGTGTTGAATCAGATGCTCCATAGGGCATCATATAAGAGGCAACCGCGGTTGAACCTGCCTTCCTCTCACTGCTCCAGCTGTCGCTTGTGAAAACGTGGCGAGTGACCTTTCATTTGCCCTCTACCCATCAGAAATCTCTTCCAGTTGTCTGATGTGCTTCCGGTTCTGCGGATCCTTCTAACGCCGAATGGTGATGTTCACCCTATCGTCGCTAAGAGGGACGTAGAGAAAGATCTTTGACACACATTGCGTTTTCTCCTTATCTTGTGCGATAAGGTTCAGGACCATGAACGGCACACCAACACTGAGCAATTCATCTTCGAATTAACTTCTGGACTAATGAACGAGCCACCCAATGCGAATTCTAAGCCCGTAAGTGATGAAGCCGAATTTGGCCAACATCAGACCGATCAATTCGGTCTCGCGCATCTGTCTGCAGATTGATGCTGCAGCGACCTTGTCCAATTCGCGTGTCAGCGACGGCCGATGTTTCTTCAAGCTGATCCTCCGCCCTCTCTCTTCGTGCAGGTGCTGCTCAAAACGAGCTGCAATGGGTGTGGTTCCCAAGTTGCTGGGGTCGTGTGCTCCCTGGTGTTCATGGTTCAATTCCGTTTTCCATGGCTTTTTCATGGTTGGGGCTTGCAGGTTCTGATGGGGCGTGGAAAGTTGGCGAAAGATAGCAAGCTACCACCGAATAAAATACATGAGAATGTCCAGCATTGACACCTCGCAGTGTGTATTGGTGGTGCAATGCGTGTAGCAGGTTGTTCGAAGTCTGCCTCTCACGCATCAACATCTTCATCAGTATGATCTGTTTTAAGGGGGTCTAGAATTCAGAGTGTTGAAAAAGTCAATAAAATCTGTTGCCGGGGCAAGGCCAAGAGACTGAACCGGTCCATTTCCCAAGAGATGCCAGGATGCTCCGGACCACCGGGCCCGATCCCTCCTCTCCAAGCTGCCTCGGCGAAGGTGCGCCACAAGCAGAGAAGACCGAGGGGATTAGGGTTTAGGGTTTAGGGTTTAGTGCTGAACATCTGGAAGCTGGAAGGTAAGCAGATGAAAACGGTTTGTTTGCTTGACTCCAGAAGCGCCTACTTCTGTCATCGGACCAGCTTCAGTCAGGCTTAAAAGGATTGAACCCATTCGGAACGCGAAAACCGCAGCGAAGGCAAGCTTCCAGTTGGAATATGTTGGGGTGTTATATGTAGTACGAGGGGTAGGGTCCATTGGCTCAGCCTTGCATGCTGTTGCTCGGTGCCTGTCTATCCGGAAAATCTAGGGATGCTTTTCCACACTGCATTGCTTGGGTCACAACTCAGTCTAGAAATGAGGCGCATCAGAGGTTCCTATAATTTTTGTATTGTGGCGGGCTGCACCTGGAAACCAAAATCTCCATTGCAAAACTTCTAGGCCCAAACCTTCAAATTCCCCAAAGTCTCGAACCTGAGATCCAACACCCTCAAACCTTGATGACCTCCAAGCTGTTCGCCGGTACCTTGAAGCCTAAACCCGTTATTTGCTCAGGACCTGCACCCAAGCCGGTGTGCCAGAGTGGCATTGCGGCTGCGCAAGAACCTGGGTAGGCCGCGAGCTTCGGGGTTGTGGGGTTTGGGGTTCAGAAGGGTCCTTCCTGGAGACCTGCCGATGGGAAGCTGTCGGTGGTCGGGAGTCTTGAGACACAACATGCAAGTCGAGGAAGACTGTTTAGGCACGAGTACGAGGTACCATGGATGCACAAACCAGAAGCATGCGATCTTTCAGACATCGAGCAGAATCCAGCTATGGGCTCTGGTTGCCGTTGTGAGGCTTCGGGTTTAGGGTTGAGAGACCAATGAAAGCTCCCAGATCACAAACACCGAGCTTCCGGGACCGGACATGCACTCACGCCACATCCAGCAGTCAGGTGTCCTTGAATGCGGCCAGCATAAAGCAGCATGAAACAATCGGATCGGACAAAAGCCCACATGTCTTCGGCAACAGCTGTGAGCCAAGACTCCATCCAAAGGCTCCCAAGCCGCCTTTGTGAAGGTTACTGCCCACTCTCGAAGCGCGGGCAATGGGCTATCGCCGTCAGAGCCCTCGAAGAGGTCCCTTTGCAGAGGAGAAAGACCGAAAGGTCCTAATATAAACCCGGTATGTTTATTCTGTAGCATATACTTGTATTGCAATGATCATCGTATACTGTAGTTTTGTCGTACATCGTAGTAACTTAGTATGTAAGCGTAGATTGCATCACCGTGTTTTGTGCGCCGTGAGGTGAACCAGCTCGTGGAGGCTGCTGGCCCCAAGTTTCGGGTGGATTCGAGCGTATGCCGGCCCATGCAGCGCCTCGGTCAACCCTTAACCGAGGATTTCGGATGTAGGGTTTGTGGCTTAGGAGTTTAGGATTCGTGGTTTGGTGTTTGCGGTTTGGGGTTGTGGTTTGGGGTTTGGGATTTAGGGTTTAGGGTTTCTAACGAGTTTAAATCCAAATTACAAAGGGTTGTCTAACGTGGTTGAAGGAGTATATCATCAGTATATCTCTCTCTCTCTCTCTCTTAAATCATGGAGGGATTCTGATTGGAATATTCCATGTTTTCGCTATTAGGCTCTCTGTGGCTCTGTTTTCTTCGGGTAGTTGGGTATGGGAACCTCCTTACCCAAGAACTCGTCAGTCCCTGGGCCGCAAGACTTCAGGAACTTCCGCAAGACCTTCAAGCCCATCCTGCAATGCCGAAACTGAGCCTACCTACCTCGGCTTTGAAGCTGGTTCAACGGTTCGTTGTCTCCGAGTGGGGGAGGGGACCCTCGCATCTCAAGGCTCGAGCAGCTGCTGAACTGTGAGATGCATCTGCCCAGCTACCAGCGGATTCAGCCGCTTGGGCTGCAGACATCTCGGTGTTGCCCGCCTCCACACGCGTAGCTTGGCAGGCCCAGCAAGCCTTAACACGAACAGTTGCTTGCATGGCTTGGGTGGCTTCATGCGGGCCACTGTGTCGTTGACAGAGGTTACTGCGAAACTTGGACCAGGCCAGGCTCTCTTGAGTCTCCTTGAACCGACAAGGAACGCCATTCCATCAGGTTGTGAATTCCACGAAACAAATCCGTTTCGCGGGCTTTCCATTTCTCTGCGACAGCGAGCATGCTGCTGCTGCTGCCACCCCTTCAGCCACCACCATATCCATTCCCGCCAATTTTTCACTGATGGGAATCGCGCGGGCAATTGAGAGTCACAACATGCAAGATTGTACGAACCAAGGCACAACCTTCAAGGGAAGGGCAAGGAAGATCGGACTATCATCCGCCTTCGCAACTTGGCTTCCAAGCTAGAGACCGACGCGTGGATAGATACAAGGTGTGCTCTTGACAGGTCTGGAGCAGGTCTTGAATGCTTTCTATGGATGGAGCAGGGTTGCTTTCACTTTCACCCTCGTTGAGGTGCTCTGTCAGGTTTGGGGAGCGGCTCGAATCTGCAAGTGATGATACCTTCAGAAGTCCATCGATGATATGTCACGTGGTGAGCCGATGCGCTCCTTCTTCATTCTCTGCTCATCCTAAACTAAAGAACCGTGCAGTGCATCGTAGACCCAACACGTTAGTCGGCAAAAGAGTTATATTTGTTTCGTTTGAGATGCCCTGGTCATGGGGACTTCCAGTGTCACAGCGTAAACACCCAAACCCCAAACCCATTCTTGCACAATGGTAGAACAACGGGGAGACTGCAGGAAGGCAGCATTCGACGAGACTCGTTTGCTGCATGATACCAATTCAGAGACTTGAAGCGGCCACTTTTGGTGGCACCATAGCTACAATGCTGTGACGATCACCGACCATCTGTTTGCTGAGAGCTTGAGCCACCAGGACATGTTGCTTTAAAGTAACACCTTGTCGGCTATCATGTTGGGATCCCTGGGTTTCAGGGCTTCTAGTGTTTCCGGCTCGCCCGGGTGCGATGAGTAGGCAGAGGTCTCAGAGTTTTGTGTCTGAAGCCGTGTGTTTGGGGTCCTGGGTTTCGGATTCGCCTGGATCCTCGGAACTAACAGAGGCAAAACTGCCTGCCCCATAAGGAATGCTCACCACGCACGGCATGGAGTTTGAGCCGGGCGCCCTTTCCGTAGCTGTCCTTTCAGCACCGCTGTGAGGATCGGGGTCTGAGATTCTACTTGTGTTGTGTATTGGGCGACTTCCCATGCCCTGAGCCTTCATGAGACCCTCAACCACAAATCCTCAAGTTCAGCCCTAAACCCGAAACCGTAGGCCGGTACCCAGTCTGGACACTGCCCAGACTGCTGAAGGGTTCAAGGAGTCTCCAACCTCAGCCTCTGAAGCCTTGCCCTCGACTCTCGACTCTCCCAAGCCGCAACCCCAAGCCCCGCAACCCCTCACGTATGATCTTGTGTGTCGCTCGCACGTGTCTTTGAAGCGCCAGACGAGTTGTCCCACAACCAACCCCAGTCTCGACGGCGAGATAACCTAGATTGGATCTCAAAGTCTTTCACTGCCCAGAAAAGTTGCAGGCTGTGGAGCTTGGCTCAGACCTCCACTGCGATCTGCGGACCCATATCTCTGAGGTTCTACGTCTACATGCGCTTCAAGTCCTTGTCTGGCAATCTGCAGGCGCCGACATGACAAAGTCCGTCGCAAACCACAGGCCTAGGCCACGCATCAGTTGGGGGATCCTTGGCCCTCCGAACAGCGTCAGCCCCTACGCAGCTTCTGGAGTGTGTTGATGTTGAAGGTGGCGGTAGCATCGAAGGTTACTCTTGGTTCGGGTTCACATTAGGTCCTTGTACAACAGAGTTTTTGCTTCTACGATGCGTGCCTCAACACGAACCCTTCTGCAGCATACCATGTACACTGTACACGTACGTAGGTCTTACCGGTAGGTTGGCGCCCTTTGCCAAGTTCCCAGGGTCGAGCTTCAAACCCAAACTCATAAATGTCAAATTCCCGACCTAGGCCCCGGCTGAGTGCAAACTTCTGCTACCGCTGCACAGGATGTGGAAGGATACGTGGACGAGTTCCTGAAGCTCTTCCCCAGGCATTTTGCATTTTACAATTGCGCAGCATTTGTTGGGGTTAGGCTTCAGGGTTTGGAGCCGCCGGTTCTAGGAAAACGAACATCTCGGCTTAAGACCCGGTGACCAAAAACCTTAGGTAGCCCTATGCATACAGGTAGCAGATACCTGTGTCCCAAACATCTTAAACACTGCAAGCTGCGGCTGGAAAGCATCCTCAACTTCCATGGCACGCCGATGAGACCAAACACCGCTGGAAAAAAAAATAATCACACACACCTCCCCGATGCACCTGTGTTTGGGTGTGATCCCAGCAGCTTGGCATCGTCGAAGGAAGCCATTGCATTTGGCTTCCATGCTTGTCGTGCACTTGGCACCCTTGATGTTTGCAATCGGATCAGAACGTGGCATCTGGAGCCTCGGAAACCAGCCCGGCAGTTACCCAACTGCCAGTATCAACTTACGGCATCGAAGACAGGTGGCATCCGTTCTTCTAGAGACCCAGAATATGTTGGCCATGCAAAGTGATGTGCGCCAGGTCCCGCTACCGGCCCAACGAGCATTGCATCCTGGCCGCCTCTCACACCCAGAACCGTTTGATGCGAATAAATTAAGCTTTGCGGTTTAGGGTTTAGGGTTTAAGCTCTGCGGTTTCTGAAAGTGAGGCACACCAACAAACCTCGACCCGGCCTTCTGTGCCTGCGGGGACGAGGCCCGGCCCCGCAGCTCAGGTCTGGAGTTTTGAAGCCAAGCTCTATGTAGGGCTTGGGATGTAGGCTGTAGGACCCGATGCCCAGCCAGGGCACTCTGTTCAGCAGGCTTTACCCTAGAAGCTTCATTTGTAAATATATATATATATATACACACACGCACATCTTCTGAAGCGTTTGTACAAGGGAAGGAGCACATAGATCGAATAGGATGTCTGATAGCGGTTTGAGGACTAAAGCAAAGACACGACGGCACATGTTGATTCCTCCAGGTGGTCGCGGTATTCCCAAGCCCGGAAATTAAATCATCAGCGAGCCGGATCCGATTTTTCACGAGAAGCCCAGGAACAGGCGGAGAGGCCCATCGACGTATCTGTCTATCTATCTATCTAT